TTGTAACTTCAGGTGGTCACTAAATAAACTGTTGTAACTCGAGGACTATCCCTAGTGAGAAGTATTTGCATGCATACTTTTAGGCAAATCTCTCAATTTTAATGGTCTGAATGCTATGGGAAAGAAAGCATTATTTTCAATTTACAAATATGGGCAACTTGCAGCCACCTCTCTGCATTTATTGTAAGAATGGGCATAAGGGAAAATAACAATTTTCCAATAATTTGAGATGCAGGAAATCAAAAAGATTATACAACGGAATAATAAGCTACGGCTCTTTTAAGCTGACTTCTTGGAAAAGCTTCTACAAAGAGTTTTAAAACTTCCTTCTGCTATTGTGCTCTTTCTATTGGATCTTCCAGGAATACAACAAACTAATCCACTCAGATAAATGCTATGCAAAGCTTATTGAATTCTTAGCTATTTCACAAGAACCCTCAAGGGCAATTCCTGCCTAACCACAATATCTTGTTGTACTTCTATCAGGCAGGTGAATAACAATTCTGTCAGAGCTACAGTATTTATAGAATGAGGTGAAGTTTTAAGGTAATGCATCTCTGAAGTTTCAGTGTCAGCCACTTTTGTGCGTCAGCCACTTGTCTTGCCCTAGAAACCACTGTTGCCAGACTGAGGTTCCCTGGAAAAATCTCAAATTAGAAAGAACATTGCGAAGGATATCATATTTGACATCAGGTTTGCTTCAGCCCAACCATTCTGTAATGATTCTGACTCCATGCCTTAGAGCAGCGGGCTCCAACGTTTTGGGCACCAAGACCAGTTCCGTGGAGAGAGGTTTTTCCATGGACCAGAGGGGGTGTGGTTTTACATGCTGCCTGCATCCCGTGGATGGGCTTTGCCTGTTTGCATGGCCCAGTTTCTGTAATGCTGTGAACCGGTGCCAGTCCACAGACTGGGAGTTGGGGACCCCTTCCTTAGAGGCCATTGCTTTCCAGAGAAATTTGCTGTTTAGATCTAGTTGACATCTTGAGGATTGATTTAACTGTGTAATATTTCCAAAATGATCTTGTGCCTGTATCACAATCTTCTGATATTGGTGTATCCTTCCCAAACTCTGTCTGGACTCTCTTAATGTCTGCATTTAGGGATCTAGCCACTCATTTTTCCTATCTAGTTTTTACTTAACAATAAGTTAAGTATGAGTCCCTTGATCCTAGATCCTGAATCAAGGATAATAGAACAACCATACTGAAGTAAGGCATAGGAGCTATTAAGATGTAATACAATCTGCACTCCTCCCCATTTCTTTACAGAAAAATACATTGAAAAAGCAGTCCAACGGATGAAAAAGCAATCAATCTGTGAGATTTTTATGCTGACAGATCCTGGACTTGCTGGATGTGGTGACCTGAAAAATCATTAACTTGGAGTTGATCAATCAGGGTTTTGCTCCAGAAGGCTGTAATTCTTCTCTGACACATGCACGTGGACATATCTTTCACCAATTGCCATGGCTGTGGCTCCTGCCCTTTGTCCAGGGGCTCAAAGTTTTTAGCTCAACATTCTCTTACACATTATTGGGATGGGGAATGTAATAAAGTGAAAAATGTCTTGGATTTTTTTTGTGCAATTGTTGGGAGGATTGATTTTTAGACAAAGACTAGTCACAGTCCATTTACTCTAAAAAAATATAACATTTTGGAATGAGCAACAGACATATCAAGTTACTGGAGATCTGTTTTGAACAGGGTCCTGAGTTTCTGGGGCAGGGTGTTTGGAAAACTGGGACATCAACAAGTGTTGATAGCAGACCCTGCCAGTATGGAATCACAAACAAACAAACAAACAAACATAAATGGATCCTCTCTCTCTCCCTCTCTCTCTCTCTCTCTCTCTCTCCCTCCCTCCCTCCCTCCCTCCCTCTCTCTCTCTCTCTCTCTGTGTGTGTGTAGGTATATTTCTTACCACATAAGAAAAAGGGAAAGGCCAGGAAAATAGTCAAAGTTCTCCCAATGGAAAAATTCTTAGATCACTCTATTTTTCTACTCAGGAGTAGTATATCTACATGTATCAGTTTTGGAGACCTATGGATTTCTTCTTAGGCACTGTAGTATTAAACTGTTATGAAAGTGTATTTAGAAAGTGTTCCACTTTGTTCAGTGGAGGTTGTTCACAAATAAATAAAGTTGAAATCTGCCAGAGGGATGTAAAGACTAAAATATCATTAGCAGGTAAAGAATATGGGTCTTTACCAATTATCTCAGAGTACATTCCTACCTTCCTTTCCTGGCTCCGGTTCTGTTCCTCGGAATCGTCCTTCAGATCTGGCATCCACTACCTGAAACCGCTTGGATTCCATGTTCTCCACCATGTCTTCATAGGTCTTCAGGAGAGACCTGTTAAGAGTAGCTTTAAAGGCAGATGGCTCTGGTCGGGTGATCTCTGAGGTCACTGGGTGACCCTCCTTCAGCCAGTTTTTGAAGCCCCCATTCAGCACTGAAACAGTTCGATGCCCAAAGACTCGGAACATCCACCATGCGCGTGGTGCATAGAAGGTGCCCAGGTTGTCTCCATCATACACAACTACATGTGTATTATTCCCAATGCCCAAGTGGCCAACATAATCAGCAAAGTGTTTCTCACTGGGCAGCATAAGCTCATAAGGCGATGACTTGTCTTTGCATTCTTCAATGTCAAAAAAAGAAGCTCCAGGCACGTGCTGTTCTTGGAATTCTTTCTGGGCATTTCTCATTCCAGGTTCATACCAGGAAGCATCCAGCACCCGCAACTCAGGGCCAATCTTTTTGGCTCGGACAGCTTCTGCCAGCCATTTAGTGGAGACCAAACCTCTGTATAAAGCTTGCTGCACCATGTTAAGGAAAGCTTTCTTGATGGGTGAACTCAAAAGAGAAAAATGGTATGTACAGAAAAGGGAGGTTTTCTGTCCAAGGCTCCAATGTCTTGTTCCCTACCAATCAACTAAGAAAGGGCGGAGAAAAGAAGCCCTAGCCAATTCATTTCTATTCAAGTCTGCACTTTGGACTGACACAGGCATATCCACAATCGGCTGCAAAATCCCTCCCTCCCTCTAGTACTTATTCAGAGAAAACTTCCAGGGCTTTTTGTATTAATTTCCCTCCTGTTCTTGCACAAGAACTAGAGGGCAAGAACATATCAGCCAGCTTTTCAGGATCTGCTGTAAAAAGACAAAAAATGCATTAGTGTTCATAGTCAGTGATGGTGCAAAAGTAAACTGTCTGGGTCAGAAGTGGGGAAAAGGGCAAACCTGAAAGAGGAAACCAGCACTGAGAAACTCAGTAAGGCCAAGAATGTGGGGTCCCAAAGAGCAAAGTGTATAAGAAGAAACACTGTAAAAGAAGCTGGTATACTGACCTCAAACATCCAGATACTGTTTCCTAATATATCCAGCTTTGTAAGTGCAGCAATATGATTACATAGAAATAGTAGATATGGCAAACCTGCATTACGTATACATTTTTCAGCAGTTTGGTTAAGAGGGCCCCAAACGTTAGAGGTAGAGCTAGCAAGATTCTGTTGAGTTCTAAACTTTGCAAGTTCTGAAATAAAAGCTATAATTCCCCTATCGGAACATGCTTATGACAAGGTAGTGGTATTTATTTTTTTTAAAAAATGAGAGACTTGCAGTATAAACCCACTTTGGGGAGGTTGTGGGAACACAGCAGCCTGCACTGATCTGGAGTTTATATGGGTTGAATCACAATTTCCATTGTCCAGAATTATAACAACACTCTGTTGGAGAAGAGATACACTTGGATGAAGGGTGAGTTGGAAGGTATGTGTGAATTGCTAAATGATTCACTCAGGGTCGTGAGAGAAGTCCATGAGAGAATAAGAATTCTGAAGCAAGTAAGAAGTATGAAAGTAATTAAGGTTAAGATTATCTCTCTCATCCAAAGTTGTCTGCAATATCTCTTTTCTTCTCCAAATTCCTCCTTGTTGTTACTACAGAGAGAGCGAAGGGCTAAAGCAAGGGTGTCAAACTCAATTTCATTGAGGGCCACATCAGCATTGCGGGTGCCCTCAGGGGGCCAGATGGGTGTGGCCAGGATGGGTGCAGCCTACTGGGTGGGTATGGAGTGGGTGTGACCTACTGGGTGGGCATGGCCAGCTCTACATTGTTAGCATCAAGGGTGCCTATGGGGCCTGGGTAGGAGTTGGACAGACCTGAGGGTCTCTGGCAGAAGAGGGTGGGACCAGGGCAAGTGCCAAGGCATGGTCCACTGGAGGAGCCTCACTGTTCCTTTAAGGCCATGGGGGGGGGGGCTTATAGAGCTAAGACTGAATGTATTTCAACATAGATGGCCACCACAAAATTATACATTGGTTCCTGGCCGGCCTGGGCCAGGGCCAAAGCGGCAGGGCCGTTCCCTCGCTGTTTCCAGGATGGCTTTGCGGGCTACATCCGACCCGCGGGCCTTGTGTTTGACATGTCTGGGCTAAAGAGTTTATTGCAACAGGTCCAAGTGCATCGTTTGGCTTTTCAAACATCATTGCTGGTGGAGAAGACAAGACAGTCTTTTGGTTTTCTTCCGGAACCCACGTTCTCTAGGAAACTCAGGCACGGCCCCCAACTGAAAAGCGTTCGAAGAAACGCGCCTCGCCTCTAAATGATCAGCGGGGAAGTAAAGTGCTTCTCCACGCCTTCTTTTTCAGGACTCCGTAATCTGTTATTCCAGGAAGTGGCTGGGGGGGGAAAGCAAATCAAATATTTATTTTGTCTCCAAAAATGAGCGGCTCACGGGGCGAATAGTTAATCAGATGTCATGAGGATTAAAAAAAAGGACGTGAGTGATTCCAGTTAGATGAGGGACCGATCTCTATATGCGAGTTAATGGTTTTCTGCTAATTTCCTCCCCCATTTTTGGCCCCAGTTGGTTCGCCCCGACAAGCTTTCCTTTCACTGGATATCAAAGTAGGACGTGGTCCTTTTCTCCGCCCTAGAGCTAGAATAAGGAAGGGGGAATAAACTGGTGGGCGAGAGCCGGCTTGCACGCAACGCTTTGTAGCTTGAGAAGCCAGCGAGGCATCCGAGGTAAGAGAAGAGGAAGCAGAGAGGTGGAGGTAGATTGGACTTGCTGAAGATTTAAAAGAAAAAGCATGAGATGAACATTCGCCCATGTGCTCAGAGGTCACTAACCCCGCTAGTAAGTTGCCTCCTCAAGGGGTGAGGCAAGCGCTGGAAGTGGGTTTTCCTCTGGTGGCAGCGGCGGCATTTACCTATGCGATGCTCTCCTCCCTAGACAACCCTGGAAACCTTTGGGTTATAACTCTCAAATCCTTGCTGGCAGGGGTGAGATCGAATACTCTCTCTATATATAGATTGTCTGAGAAGGATGGGAGCTGTTCTGCAACGCCTGTTGGGGTTGCCAGATTGGGCAGGCTCAGAAGAACAGTCTTTCTTGGGGAAGGAAATAAATTGTTTGCTATACACTAGTTGGGTGCTTGGTGCAGTCTTTCTACTGTCTTCAAATGGGGAATTTGAGACTTTGGTGTTTCTGTGGGTGGAGAACTCTTGGGGGAAGAGAGATGAAATCTTTCCCCCTGTGGGAGATTTTTTCCTATTCCTGTCAAAGAAACTTGAATTTGAAGTAGCAAAACCCATTGATATGAACAAATCTGCTCTGAACAAAATGGAGTGCCTCTGAATATTTACACAGCATCTTCCTGCTTAGCTTTAACAAGGAGACTCCAGTTCTATAAAGCTGCAGATGTGATAAAAAGAAAACTGTTTTTCAGATAGACTCTTGTCCAGGGCTTCAAAATGGGAAAGCTCTGTTTAGATTATTAATCAACCAGCAGATATTAAAAACAAATCTATAAAGAAAATGATAGAAGAAGTACACTATCCTTTTTTCTCCTGTGCATGGGATGAGAATTATTTTTATTTCCATATTTCACCTATTAACTCCATATTTCCATATCAGGGTTCAAGGATTGTGTTAAAAAGCAATGAAATGCAACATAATCCTATAAACAGCATTTAATCATGACAAAATAAAAATGACAGTATTTAAAAAAATAATAGATTAAAAAGAAGAGAAGTAACAAATGTGGTGTCGATACTGAGAAGAGCCAACCTAATCAGCTGCTATTATAGAAGTTATGATTTAAGTCAAGCCCTGCACATTCTCTATGAAGATCTAACTTCAAAGTCTATCTTTGTTTTTGTAAACCTTGGCCACTCTTGCTTTCTTATTTATTTGCTATAGAATATAGATCTCGGATGTTTTGGACAAGATAATGAAGAGAACTTGGGCATTGCTGTGATGAAAGGATGGAATTTAAATTAAATAAAACAAATCCTACAGCAATCTAAATATTCTTTTTAGAGACGAGTCCAAAAAATGAGAAAATCGGGAAAATGTAGGGGCCTTTTTCACTTTGCATGGATCATATAATTGTTTCGTCCATGTTGAGGTTGACTACTGAAGCTTACTGGAGCTTTTCCCAAGAAAATGGCTGTTCTACTAGAGTTCATTTTTATTATACGCAGAAATAGGTAGGTTTTTTAGTGAAGAAATTTATGATGGTGATATTTTACCCTCACTAATTAAACTGTGTGTTATAACAATTCTAATTTTATCCCTGTCTTTTTGCCCAGAATATTGTTTACACAGTACTGTTGATGCTTGGATTATGAATGGGTGCACATTCCTTATATTTTGATGGCATAATGGTATAGAAGCATTTATTGTCTCTCCCTGGAAGAAAAAGCAAAAATGTTGCCACTAGTATACTTTGCCAAGTGACCTTGTTAGCATTGTTTAACCATAGTGTTCTTTGAACTGTAATAAATCACATTTGTTTATCATTTATTTGATAGATCTGTATTCTACTTTTCTTCCCGGAACTTAAGATAGTGTACGTTGTGCTCCGTCTTCTGAGTTTTTCCCCACAACAACCGCTCTATAAAGTCGGAGTGAGCAAGAATGACCAGGCAAAGTCCACACACAGGCACACAGAGAGAATTTTCATAGTTTGGGAAGCATCTCAAGGGAGCAAGGGGACTTAGAACCTAAGCACCTATCATTTTCTATAATAGCCTTTCCAAATGCCTGCTTCAGATTACATCATTTGTCAGATACCACCCATGAGGGTGAGGCGTTTTTCAGCATAGATGGAGATTTGGCAGTAGATTCCCATCCTCCTGGCAATTTTTTTCGTTCTACCAACAAAGCAATATTGTATTGATTATAGCAAGAACATTACATCTTAACTTAGCCAAAGAATTGGCTGAACTTGCTGTTTTGTTCAGGTGTAACTACTTACTTGTTATAATCTCTGAGTGTTCTTTTCTCTTGTGAGGAGGATCCTAATTTGTTGTGTTGTCTTCTTTCACCTCAGTGCCAGCAGAAATCTCAAGTGAGATCCAAACCCAAACAGGCTGTGAGTGCCATGTCTCAGCAGCTGCTCTACCGGGCATTGGTGACTGCTAAATGGGTGTCAGAAATTATCAAGTCTCCTCAAACTGGATCATCTGTGAAGCTCTTGGATGCCTCTTGGTATCTCCCCAAAATGAAACGTAATCCCCAGAGAGAGTTTGAAGATCGCCATATTCCAGGAGCCGCTTTCTTCGACATTGATCATTGTAGTGACCGCACATCACCTTATGATCATATGCTTCCTAGTGCAACAGATTTTGCAGAGTATGTGGGCAAACTAGGAGTGAGCAGTGATTGTCATGTTGTTGTGTATGACGCAAGTGACCAGGGCTTGTTCTCAGCTCCCCGAGTCTGGTGGATGTTCCGAGTTTTTGGCCATGAAGCGGTTTCCCTTCTAAATGGTGGGCTGAAGAACTGGATGAAAGAGGGGTATCCAATCAGCTCTGGAAAGAGTCATCCTGCTTCTGCTGAATTTCATGCTTCTCTGGATAAATCAATGGTGAAGACCTATGAGCAGGTGAAGGAGAACATTGAGTCACGCCAGTTCCAGGTAGTGGATGCACGGTCTGCTGGAAGGTACACTGGGACGGAACCAGAACCCCGACAAGGTAATGGTTTCTTTACGTTTGTAGGATAGATGTGGTGGAATGTAGTCTGGATTCCCAGGAGCTACATTACAGAGGAGGAAGAGACAGTGAAGTTTAGATAGTTCGGATAGTTTGAAGAGGTAAAGGAAAAGACTCAAGACAATTCCTCCCTAGAATTTCTCAGAGTATATCTTTATTGGAGCAAGTAGTTTGCTTTAGTTTGGCAAGATTTCTGTCTGTGTTTGAGGAATAATAATGGAGATTGCTTTGGAGTAATTCAGTGTGTCTTTTAGGTTTTGGAGCCTGACAGTAGAGTTGTTGGGCTGCTTTAGCTCTGAGATTAAAACCTCTGATTTCAAAACTTTATGTTAAAAAAGGGAAGTTGCAAATTGTCAGCACTTCAAGATAGAACAGATTAGGAAACCAATGACATGTAGGTTAATACTACTTTTACTGTCAAGCTATAGTAACAGAATGTTGCAAGTCTGATTATGCTTCCCCCCCTCCCCTTATCCATGTGTGAACCAGGGAGGGGCTTGTCTGAGATATTCACTCATTTCAGTTCTTGCCCTGATTTGGGAGGGGGGGGGGTTTCATCTGACTGTTAACTTGGTAGCGGCTCTTCCTGCGTAAGGAAGGCCATTACCTCAAGGCCATTACCTCATCACAAGTCAAGAAACAAGAGGAGATGCCTATATATCAGTAGTTCCTCCTAGTAAGGATGTTGTTGAAAGGAGAGGGTGGGGCATTATTTATTTATTTACGCAGTATATCAAATGGCAGTAATTTATATATTACTATATATAATAAAATATGTAAGGAATTAACAGATTAGGCAGAGGATCGGCTGTCATTATTCCTAATATCATACTAATTGCATTTGATTTTCATCTTTGCTGCATCTTTCACTCTTTGTAAAAGAAAGATGAAGTACAAGATGATAGGACTGCCAAAAATTGTCAAAAGCCTTCCCAAATTGAAGGAGGTACAGCATGGCTCCTGATTTTTACAACTTTATTAAGTGTCCTTCCGCAATTGGGGAAGATCTAGATTCTAGATCAGTGGTTCTCAACCTGTGGGTCGGGACCCCATTTGGGGTCGAACAACCATTTCACGGGGGTCGCCAAACAACGCAGTCCACCATTTTTTTCCCCCTTTTCCTTAGCTGTGCTACTCCCTTTTATTCTATTGGCTTTTGAAAGCCAATAGAATAGACTCTCTTGAATAGAGTCTAATTCTATTGGCTTTCAAAAGCCAACAGGAATTGTCCAGGCTGTCTCTGCCCTGTTGAGCCTGCCAAAAGTCCCATTCTGCAAACGGTGCTGCACCAGTTGAGTAGTCCTCAACTTACGACTGGTTGAGTAGTCCTCGACTTATGACCGGTTGGGGGGTCTCAGCATTAAAAAGGTTGAGAACCATTGTTCTAGATCAAATGAAGTTTTTTTTCCTTCTGTATACTAGAGAACTAGAAACAGTCATTCCCCATGTTCTCCAGCAGATGGGTGATATCAGTTAACCTCATCTTACATTCTGGCTTACTGGGGCAAATGGGCAGGGGGGAATTCATCCTTTACCATTAGTATAAACCAATATTTTTCAAATGGACAAGTTTCAGATATGTGGACTTGAACTCCCAGAATTTCCCAGCCATCGTGCCTACTTAGAAACTTAGTGCTATATACAGGATTTCAAGGTTCACTATATACAGAATGTGTGTGTGTGTGCACATTATTTCTAAATTGTGCTCCTCATTTTGCAATTTTGTTCAATGAACTTTAATAGTATTTTGTTTTTTCAAACTTTCTCCAGGAATCGAACCTGGTCACATCCCTGGCTCTGTGAACATTCCTTTCACAGAATTCCTCACTGAGGCAGGCTTGGAAAAAAGCCCAGAAACTATCCAAAGCTTGTTTCAGGAGAAGAAAGTAGACCTCTCCAAACCTCTTGTGGCCACTTGTGGATCAGGAGTCACCGCTTGCCATGTGGCATTAGGAGCATATCTGTGTGGGAAGCCAGATGTGGCCATTTATGATGGGGCTTGGGTGGAATGGTTCATGCGCGCACAGCCCGAAGACATCATTTCAGAGACGATGGGAAAGAGCCTCTGAAGCATAGCCTTCTGCTGAGACAGAAACATTAGAGAAGGGGATGGCTTTCAAAAATTCTATCTCAAGATATTCTGCCTATTGAATGAAGTGTTTTGATAATGAATTGGGGGATTTGCCATTCTTTTGCTTGTCTCCATTGCCATGTATAGATACTGCCCATTTTTCATAGCAAAGAAAACACTAATTATGGGAAGATCAAATTAAGAGTTCCAGGTAGAACACTAAAACTCTGGAGATTTGCAACCACAAAAATAACTTTGCTTTTTAAGGGGATTAATTTTGCAATGTAACTATGGCAAATTATGTCATTCTTCTGGCTATTTAGTATTAATTGTTTCTCCACCAGATCCTGTAATTTGGTTTCTTTTCATTTTGTATGGAAATGCCATAGTACAAACATTTCTTTTAAATCAAAAGCATCTTCCTGTCCTTAAAGATTCATTGCTTTATTTTGTGTTCTCAGCCTGAAGTGGGTCAGATTCTGAAAACTTGTGTCCAATGCAGTTTGTGTGGTGAACTGCATCTTGAATTCAGCTGGTTCTAGACTATATCAGATAGAAAATGTATGTTAAGCTACCTAGTTCCTTTAGCCATTCTTCATAGGATTTAGCCACTAGATTCCTTATCATCTTTGATATTTTCTGTTGTTGGCCATTTTTCCTCTCACCTCACCCCATAAAAGCTTTAAGCCAGCAGGAATCAGTATCTTAAGGAATATGATGACATATCCTGACATACCCCATCACAAATCAGATTTCTTAACACCTTTCTCTTTTTTCCAAATCTCCACTCTCTAACAAAAGCACCATCTCACTGCAATCCAACAGCTCCATTAGGTCTTAGTCAGGCATTAGTCCGGTGAAATCCTAAACCAACTTACCCAATAACCTCACAACAGAAATACTGATCTATCAATACTAACTACTAACTCCAAGCTTTTATTCAGATAGGTCACCTGATAATGAACAAATGTAAGTAAATTGGAAAGATAAACTGTATGATGAGGCATTTGCTACGAAGGAAAACTGCAAGTGATCACATATACTGTAATGGGCTCTGAGAATTGCCTTAATACATACTGTAGGAGAAAGACTTCACTCCAGACAATCTGAAAGAGAAATATGAGTCCAAAGCTGGAACCAGCACTGGAGAAAGTATATCAGAATAGACACCCCCACCCCCAAGTCTCTGGAATTAAAGGCAGGAGAGGAGGACTTTCAGACTTGCAAGATTCTATTACTTTAACTTTACAATAGGGGTTTTGGTTGTCTGGTCTGCACTTGAAAAGCTGACATATTCTTAGTTAAGCTCCATGCTTTCCAAAGAAGAAATTAAAGCAGTGGTTTACAGTACAAACCCAGGGAATTGATTTTTTTTTTAAAGAAAGATACTATATGTGTAGGTCATCCCTGAACTGCAGAATTTACTATTTTCCACTTTACTCAAATGGGGCTTAGGAAATTATGACATTCTTGTTTTAGAAATGACTAAATACAGATATCTCTAGAACAGTGGTTCTCAACCTTTTTAATGCCGCGACCCCCAACCGGTCGTAAGTCGAGGACTACTCAACTGGTTGTAAGTCGAGGACTACTCAACTGGTGCAGCACTGTTTGCAGAATGGGACTTTTGGCGGGCTCAGCAGGGCAGAGACAGCCTGGACAATTCCTATTGGCTCTTGAAAGCCAATAGAATTAGACTCTATTCAAGAGAGTCTATTCTATTGGCTTTCAAAAGCCAATAGAATAAAAGGGAGTAGCACAGCTAAGGAAAAGGGGAAAAAAATGGCAGACTGCATTGTTTGGCGACCCCCGTGAAATGGTTGTTCGACCCCAAATGGGGTCCCGACCCACAGGTTGAGAACCACTGCTCTAGAAAGAAAAGAGATACTGAATATTACAGCATTCTTGGCAAAACAGAATAGTGATGTAATTATGCTATAAATAACATTTAGTTCTGGATAAGTTTGTCCAGTGGACTATCAAAGATTATTAAAGAATCAATCCACCAGTTCCCTAAGTGGCACTCAAGGAGCCTTAAGATTAATTTAAACATTTGGAATATCCTCCAATTCCCAGATCTAGTAAGAATTCACTCAGTTTGTAGGATGGTTCAGTGAAAATGTAAAATCGTATAAGTTCTCAGCCATTAAAATGTGTTTAAAAAGCATTTTCAACCTTGGCAACTTTAAGATGGGTGGACTTCATTCAAGCATGCTGGCTGGGAAAATCTGGGAGTTGAAATCCACTCGCCTTAAAAGTTGCTAAAGTCGAGCAACCCTGCTTTAAATTGTTTTTTACTTTCTGCTAAAAAAGATTGTTGGATTGTCATCAAAAGGATATTCTGCAAAGAACGCTTCCTGAAGTACCACAACTTAAATACATAGCAAAACAACCCGCATCCTTGATTTTTGTGTCCCGCTTAAGTCTGAAATGCGCGCTAGCTTGAAACAAACTACAAGCACCAGAATCCTCCAGTGCTCAACACCTGCAAGCCGCGTCCCGCCTATTTGTGAAAGTAGGAGGGACGCGCCGAGAGAAAGAGATGAGAATGGAACGAGGGGAGGACGCGCCAGCTGCACAGAAGGCTACTTCGTACGCGTGGGCTTCCTCGCAACAGCCACTTCCCCCCAGCAGCCGAGGCAAATGGGTTCGGCTGAATGTCGGGGGCACCGTTTTCTTAACCACCAAGCAGACCTTATGCCGCGAGCAGAAATCCTTCCTCTGCCGCCTGTGCCAGGGAGAAGAGCTGCAATCAGATCGGGTAAGCGCCGGCTCTTCACCGACCCTCGAAGGAGCACTGTTGTTTTGCGAACACGGGAGCATTTTCACTTCGCTTAAATCGCAGGGCGTGGAGAGCGCCAGCAATGAGGGGGTTCCCTTTGTTTCGAAAGATCAGAGCCCACTTAGAAATAATATTGCTAAGGGGTCGAACTTTCCCCTCGATTCAGGCATTTTTCGGGTCTTGCCCATAAACAGGAGTCTTTCTTTCTTTCTTTTTTTTTTTGCAAAGTCACACATGTTTACTTCGTGAACGCAAAGTTGGTCAGGAAGCTCGATTCTCTTTCTCTCCCTCCCCTCCCCCGTTTTTCCTCAGGGGTTTTTGGAGCTTTATATAGGAACGAAAGTTTCCCCGGGTACGCTTCAACTACAGTGTTTAAAAAGGCAAGTCGTATAGAAGCATCTGTTTTCTGGAGGGGCGTCTGCCTGAGCAGCGAAAACTGTTAAGCAATGAAACGGTTTTTAAATGCCTACAGGCCAATCGCTCTGCTTTGTTGAAAAATGCGGACGCGGAGAAACTCCAGCTTCTGCTTTGCACGCGAGTGAACTGATTAAATTGCTCAACGGAGATAATGTTGTTTATTGCCTCTTATCTCAGAAGCGCGCCGATTCCCGCTAAAAGCACCGACAAAGAATTACGAAAACTCCACTTGTCCACCCAAGGGACTGGTTCGCCTCAAAGAAATCTTGCCTAGAACTCAAAATAATAACAAATTTAGGGGCATTTCTTCCTCTTCCTCACCGTAACACCCCTTGTATTAATCTGGGTCCTTTGTCAGTGATTCCAAGAGTTTATATCTTGACACTCGATGCAGCTTTTCTAAGGCTAATGTAGTCGTGGGCAGCCGTTCAAAAACTTCATCCGCAGGATGTTTTTGTTTTGTTTTTGTTTTAAGTGGAGTAAAGCATACAGCTTAGTCAGAGCAAGGGCGGTTGACTTCAGTATTATTCTCCAAGGATACGCATAAAGAATACAGTCTTGAAATAAACGTTATGATAGGATCAAAAAGTTGCTGACTTTGGACAACATGTTAGGCTAAAAAGTGTTTTGTAGTTGGATGGCTGTATTTACACACAACTAAGTTAGGCTAAGATGTGCTTTAGCATATTGAAGGAATCCAGCCATTGTAGTATCTTGTGAACCAGATTATTAACTATAAAGCCATAATAAGGATAGTTCATATAGATGCAGCATGTTATGAGAACTCAGCAGATACCTTTTATTAACCCTGATTTACACTTCCAACTCACTGAGTGAATCAAGTAGTGTATTATAACTGAACAGAATTTATATAAAATTTAGTTTGTTGGGTGAAGTCAGCCAATTTTATTAATTCAGATCACATTTTAATCTGTTTTGTGAATATTGTATAGTCTTTGTGACTGCATTATTTCAAATTGGCCAATATTATTTGGAGGAGGTACACAGTTGTGCCTGCGCATGCATGCACAAACACCCTGCCAAATCCTTCTCTTCCTATTTTTCTTGGCAGTTTTGCTTTTCTTCCCTCTGATCCTGCAGATACATGCAATTGATTCTGATTTTCTTTGTTTTGCAAACTTAGCCATTGTGTTATGTAAATAATAGTTATGGCATAACGCAAGGCATGAATGAAATTCAGTATAGTGATATAATGCATTCATCATTTAACTAAGAAATATTTAAACATCTTACAGTTTAAATATATTTATTAACTGTTTGCCCTGAATCTCCTGCTATTCAACTACATTTAATGACTTAGGGTTCCCATAAATAAGACAGACACAAAAACCTCTTTTGCTGAATGTGCATAGTTTTATACAGACTTCCTTTTTTTGTCCATTATTCCCATAAAAAAAACCCCACCTCTGAAAGATGCTTTCTCTTTGGAGAATTGTTCCAGATTGATTTTTTTAAAAGCAGTTTTGAGATACAACAATTTTTGAGACATAGCAGTCATAGGTGAACAGTGTATCTGTGTAACAAATTTAATATTGGCATTACAATTTGTTTTATTTTTTTTTTCTAATAGATATTATGCTGGGATGTGTTTCTTGTGGGTTAAGGCACCAGACTAGAAATTAGGAGACCTTAGGCATGAAAACTGATTGTGAGTTTTCTGGCCTTAAACATGAAAGAAAGCTGGCTGGGTGACCTTGGGCCAGTCACACACACTCAGCCAACTAACCTCACCAGGGGGTGGTTGTGGAGAAAATAGGAGCAGGAAGGAGAATTGTAGGTGTTCTTCACCTTGAGTTATTTATGAAAAATGATAAAGGCAAGATATAAATAATAAATACCTTCACAAATTGTAGTGTTATCAAGGTCTGTTTCTGAACAGTCATTGACTGACAGTATGTATGAATCTCTATTTATCTCTCTCTCTCTCTCTCTCTCTCTCTGTGTGTGTGTGTATAAAATATTTCAAAAAGTTTTGCCCTGTTTTGAATCATTTTATATATAAGCTTGTCAACTCCCTTCAACCTTTTTGGGAAGAATCCTTGAACTCATTTTCTTCTCTTAGTAATGAGGGGTCAGCAAAACTGGTTACGGTACTGCTGATTTCTAAATGATTCTCACTGGTTTAACTTCAAAGCTTACATAAGAAGCACATGTCCCAACTGGTATTTATACCCCTTTATTGTGAAAGGTAGCCGCTAATTCTTTCTGTCTACTCTGTTTTTAAGCAGTTAATGATCCATAATAATGTTTAATTTGTTATCCCTGAAAACTATATTTATTCAGAGGTTTGAGTAAGGAATTATATTAAAAAATCTTTTGAAAATCTAAGTAAACAAAGAACTCAGAAAAGTTAATAAAACATGGCTTGTTTTGTTCTTTGCTTTTGGTTTAGGATGAGACAGGCGCATATCTCATAGATCGAGACCCAACTTATTTTGGACCTATTCTTAATTTTCTCCGGCATGGGAAACTGGTACTGGATAAAGATATGGCTGAGGAAGGTAAGTCTATAGATCTTATGTTCCAGAACCCAGCTATATAAATGCCAGTACAGGTAATCCTTGATTTAGAAGCATCCATTTGCTGACTATTCAACGTTACAACAGTACCGAATAGTACCGAAAAAAGTGAATTACGATTGTTTTCCACCTGTATGACCATTGCAGCATCTGCAAGGGTACGCGATAAAAATTTTGGTGCTTGGCAACTGGCATGTACTTATGACATTGCCTTATCTTGGGGTCATGTGATCATCATTGGTAATCTTCCCAGCCGGTTTCTGACAAGCAAAGTCAATGGGAGAAGCCAGATTCACTTAACAACCACATGATCCACTTAACAGCTGCAGTGATTCGCTTAATTATGGCAAAAAAGTCATAAAGTGGGGCAAAACTCAACAACTATCTCACTTAGCAATGAAATTTTGGGCTCAATTATGGTCATAAGTTGAGGACTAGCTGAATTGTTTATGGTGGGGAATGAACATAATTGATTGCTAAGGGCAATATTTATTGAAGTGCCTCTGCAGTTCACTTAAGAATACTCTTGTCTCTGTTGTCTAAAATCACATTTCATGACAGTAATATAGTAGTAGGATCTTAAGAACATGTTAAATATTTTCTGGCAATATGATCTTTTTCATGAGATGGAACATTTCACATATTTTCTCAGGGAAATGATCCCTATGTTCTATAACAAGAACATGGAATGATGCCTTATATCAAATCAGACTATTCATCTGACATGTATAAATATTTATACAGTAATACCAGCTTCTTTTTTTGACCAAAGGCCCATTCTTTCCACTATTGTTTCTTTTCTTGAAAATGGGTAAAATGGTTTTCTAAATTATTGAACATGAAAAACACAAACTGTAACATAAATCTTAAAGATAGATTTAGCATAGTTAAAAGACAAACATCCCCTAAGCCGGGGGTCCCCAACTCCTGGCCCATGGCCCATTTGGAACTGGCCCGCGCAAGCAGGGGTGAGCACTTGTGCGTGTGCGGCTCCACTTGTGCAAATGGCAGGCAGTTGTGCTTGTGTGTGAAGCTCCATTCGCACAAGTGGAGATGTGTACCCTCACGCACATGTGCCTGCCACTCACACAGAACCATCCCCTCTCCTCCCATACTCCAGGTCATCAAGCCAGAAGGGTTGGGGACCACTGCCCTAAACTGTCCCTAATTTACATGAAAAATTCTCCAATATTTGTTTTGCTCACATCTGAGATACAGCCAGTGGTGGGATTCAGCTAGTTCGCACCACTTCGGCAGAACCGATAGCTAATTTTTTGTTGTCCAGGGCCAGAATGGATTTCTGGAAGCAGCATTCACAGAGAGAACTGGTTGTTCACATATTTGAATCCCACCACTGGATACAGCCCTATATACTTTCAACCCTATCTCTGCCTTTATGGTCCACAGCCACCCTACATAAAATAGGGTCTAGCTCCAGTTGCTAAGAATTTCTTAACTCTGGTTTATGATGACTGACAGCAAAGAGTCTCTGGGGTTCAGGTTCTGTCGTAGCCTTGATGGAGAGGCCAGATGTTAACCCAGGACGTATGGATGAAAAACAAAGATTTTACTCCTGAGTAAATTACTCCTTTATTTCTTAATCTGTTCTTTCTGTTGTCCTTTTTCTAATATATAGAGATATGCTTATTCAAATTAGCATTTATATTGGTTTTGCAGTTTTAATTATGTACCTTTTTCTTCCTATACAGTAGCTGTTTTTGTTTTATTTATGCATAATTGTTTTATCTTTATTTTTATAATATAAATAAGGCCATTTTGGTGAAGAAATCTGGATAACAAAAATTAAAAAATAGGTACTGCTTAGTTATTTCACCTATCTAATGACTTATAACTTGGTATCTCTTTGCTGGGCTGTACTTTTCAAATAGCTGTGTTAAGATATAGATATCTGCAGAACATTTTCTCCAGAGAAAACTTTAATTTTTGGCATACTGCTTGAACTAGCAAACTGCCTTAGTTTAGCACTAATACCTGCACTAGTGCAGAAGGCTTAGCTTATGTTCAAGAGGAAAGAAAAATGGCAGATTTATTGAATGATTCCTATAGACGCAAACTTGTCTCATCATAATAATTAGCAATCTCTACAATCAATTTCAACAACTGAGCCCAAACTTTTTGTTGCTAAGTAATGCTAAGTTGCCCCATTTTTCAACCTTATTGCAGTGATTCACTGCAATTGTTAGTAACATGGTTGTTAAGTGAGTCTGACTTCCCCATTAAGTTTGCTTGTCAAAGGTCACAAAAGTTAATCACATGATCCCAAGACACTGCAACTGTCACAAACACATGCCAGTTTGAATTTTGATCACAGGACCAAGTGGATGCTGCAAAAGTCATAAGTGTGAAAAACTGTCATAAACTGTCATAAGTCTTTTTTTTTCAATGCTGATGTAATTTCAAACAATCACTAAATTAATGGTTGTAAATTGGGGACTACTTGTACTACATTTTCCTTAAAAAAGTTAAATCAGTAGAACATACAAGCATGCTACCCTAAATGTACAGTTATCATCTGGGTTTGACACTTTTTTGTTGCTAAGATCCAGTTTGGTGTAAGGATTAAGGCACCAGGCTAGAAATCAGGTGACTGTGAGTTTAGGCATGAAGCAGTTGGCTGACCTTGGCTAAGCTGTTTACTTTCAGACTGAGGAAGAGGGAACTAGCATGTCACAAAATGCTGCAGGGGGTAGTTGCTAGGAGACAATACTGACTTGAAGTTACATTTTTGCCTCCCATCACTGCTGTGCCATGTCAACCAACAGACTAGCTGCCTTCTTACCTTCAGCCTCACCTCTTTGTTGCTTGCACCCAGGGTGGATGCCCTTCCCTCCCCCCCCCCCCTTTGCTACACTACTGGACATTAAGCTAGCAGCTGAACTGGGGAGAGGAAAGGAGAGGCAGGCCAGGCTAGTTTCTTACAAAATAAATGGGTGGAATAATACTTGCATACTTTCTCTTAATCTGGGCCAGAGATTGAGATCTTTTTATAATGACGTTAGCAATTGCTACTACCCCACTTGGGGATGCCCACATGGATATTGTCCTCACCCACCACAACCATGCTGAGTGGGGTAGGGACTAAACTTGAAAATAATATTAAAGAGCAATTGTATTTATTTACTACTATACTGTGCTCCTTGCTTTGCTTTGGCTCTACTGTCTATTTTTAATTGCCTGCATTCCCTTAGTGCACTTCTGCGTTGGAAAAATAAGAAACAAGTGCATCACAAAGGTGATGGTTTGTACCCTTGTAAATACACTGATGCTATGTATTGTAAATATTTAGTTTTCAACTACGTAAGAAGCAGTATTTTCCCTTCCAAAAAGTTACCGTTCTGTTGAATGCTATTTATTACTCTGTATTCAAAAATCCTAACAATTAGCTGCCAATGACATATTTTGGTGGCATTCTTGCTTTGGATAACCGTCAGCTAAATAAACACTAGAACAAGCCATCCAAATAGATATAAGCTATAATTTCCAGTGGTCAAGGAAGAGTATAAATGCCTAAGTAGCAGTAAGAGATAGAAGACAGTGGGAAGGAAGTACTGTAGGAAATCTGCTGTTGAAAGCTCCATCTTATGTTGTTTTTATGTTTTTATTTTGCTTTTCGTATTTCATTCTCTTGTGTATTTTCTAATTTTTAGCATCAGCTTGAAGAATGTAAAATGATTATATGCTTATAATTTTAAAAAAAAGAAGCTGATGAACTAATTCATAGCATTATGCCATTTCAGTTTCTCTGTTCTGACAGTTTCCTTGTGGGAGTAGTTGCAATGGTGAGAGCAGTTGTCTGAATTATTCAAAGCACAATTTTCTTATAGCACAAAAAAAGAATAAGAATAGGGAGAAGAACTTACTGAGTTCAGATAACAATACATGAGATTAAAGATGCACTGTGTGTTATAAGAATTCAGTTACTTATTATGGAAACTCATGTCCGGTTTATTTGGGGACATGTTATGTGCAAACAAAAATCATGTCTCAGTAATCTAAGTTTAGGATTTAGCATGTTACAAGAAGCCAACTGATCAGTCTTGAATAATCTGAAATTACAATATTTTATTCTGTTTCTATTTTGGTTCTGGTTTTGGATACTACTCTAGTTTACATGGGAGGGGAAGGAAAAGAAAAGAACAACAACATCATTGTAATGATGGCAGTAATTCTCTGTGGTGATTGAAAAAGAAACTGCTTCCTCATTTCCCTCCCCACAACTTTCAGACTCAGAGTGGCTGTATCTTTTGCTTTGTTTATTAATATATTCACCTAGTTTGCTGAGGAAAGAAAGAGACATACTGTGAGGACCAGGTATCAGGTCCAAATAGATTACTTTGGCGAATAACAAATGCTAATTCCTAAGTGTAACTCTAGTTCCTCAGTGGGTTCATTGAATGCCTAGATTCCCCCATGCCTGCTGCTGAAATGCATCATGTGTGTCTCTAGGGAAAGAGACGTGGGGATGCAAATGATGACAGATGAACAAAATGGAAGACAACATTTTATTTGCTTATGTAGCAGTAATTTCATGCCAGTTTCCCTTAGGCTAGTATTTCTCAACCTCAAAAACTTTAAAATATACTTCCAGAATTCTCCAGCCATCAGTTGCAACCTGGTCTCTGATATTTTGGGCTAGAAATCCCTAATTCCTTAATATTGCTCCTCTGACTGATAATTCTGGTTAGTGGATATTGATATCCTCTGTGATAAAAATAACAAGAGCAGAATAGATCCAATAAGTCTTAAATTGGCCATCATTGGATTAGAGCTAGATAGTGGATATGTCTGAAGATTAAATTTTAAATATTTTTTCATGAATCAAATAACTGCATGCTTGGTGATATAATCTGGTTATTTAGTTAAGGTTAACTAGAGCATGTGGGTTGAATCCAAGCAGTGATTCATCCTTGGAAAAGGGGGTGGTCCAACCCATGCTTAAGAAGACATCCCCCCCCCCCGCC